TTGCCCCAACACGCGAAATTACACGTCCGTTCAACCACAGCCAACTCAGAGTGCTCAGCGAGCAGAGTGGTTGATGAAACACCGTCGTCACGTGCAGGGCAGAACACGCTCTATTGCGTCTGGCAATGCGAAGAAGAGCAATGCAAACGGAACTTCTAATCTGATTTCAAAGGAGGTGCGCCAGTTCTTAAAGCTATTCACGCGGGAGGTATGCATGACGTTCATGGATGAGGGGTTCGCAGCGTGTGCGATGCGTCGCGAACGTGCGAGGGCAGAGCAGCCACAAGAGGTCCAGGCTCGTGGAGTGCCACTACCGGCAGATGTGTTGGATTCTTTATACAGCCAGGTTGTTACTCAGCTGCTCTTCCAGATTCTCGGGTGGACTGAAAAAGAGGCGTCGCGAGTGTTACAAACGGTGGTGCGGCAAATAAAGCGATGCTTCCCCCCTTCTCCCAACCTAAGCCCGCAGATGTGAATAGGGAGTTGAATATTCCCCTTTTCCGCTTCTCCGCCCACAATTATGGATGCGGCAACACGAAACACCATCTTTAAAATACACTCAATGAAAAAGTAGGAGCGCTAATTTTATGGAGAGAAAGAGAGAGAGAGAGAAAGAGAGAGGTAGCAGTGCGCTTGGGGATTGTATGTGGGCCCGTGTGCGGTTACTGAGGGGGTTATGGGAGGATTTTGGGCTGGCGGCAAAGAGGGGCCGGCTTATTGTGTAAAAGTAACAACCGAATGACAGGGAGTCTGAGGCGAAGCAAAAGGGGGAGGAAATAAAAAAAGAAAGAAAGAAAGAGAACGGTCCTTAATGAGGAGGACGGAAAGGAGGCGTATGGTGAGCCAACATGGACGACACCGCCGCGTTGTGTGCGTTGACATGATTAAGTACACCGACGTCTGAGTATTTCGAGTTGTATGGATCTTCCCGGTGTGGACGACAAGACGGCGTGGCAAGGCACACACAGACACACAGACACACAGACAGACAGAGAGAGAGAGGGAGAAAGCAAACTAAAGGGTTTCTCGAATTTCCCCCCTTCACCTCCTCCCTTTTTTTTTTTTTTTCACTTTACACGCACGCACGCACGGAGTGACAACAACAACAAAAAAGAAAAACAACAAACAAACAAACAAGAAAAAAGAAAAACGAAGAAATGTGATGAAAAAAGGAAATTTCTGAAATGTGGCAGTACAAATCAGAGAAACGCCTACAGATTGTAAAAAGGGCGATAGAAGGAAACAGAGGAAATTACACGAAGAATCCTTATCTTGTTTTTTTGTCTTCATAGTATGGATGATGAACAAAACATGAATGAAAAACAAGAAAAAAAAAGGAAAAAAAAAGGAAAAAAAAAGAAACTGGTAACTGAAAGAAGAAAGGGATGGGAGGCCAATGATACTTTGGGGGGCGGGGGTGGTACTGGAAAAGGAGGAGAGGAGAGAAGGATGAAATGAATCGTGAAGTGCAGAAGTGTGAACGCATTTGGACGACAAAAAATGTCTTTCTCCGTGCTGTGTTCGTGATGGGCGGGTGGGTGGGACTTGTTTCTCTGCTCTCATATCTTTGGGAATAAAGGCTTGTGGCGGGGAGCACATGTACTTATATATATATAATATGTACGTATGTATGTATAGGGGCATGCATAAGCATTTGATAAAAGAGGAACTGCTCTGCGTGGTTACTCTGTTACACGCTTCTCATGTCTTCTGCGGTTAAGTGTGCACCTTTCCACACAATGGGTGCGGTGCGAGCGCGGAGACGCTGTGAAAGAACGAGAATGAAATTTGAAAAGAATAACACAACCAAATTTTATGTATGCATGCATGCACGGATGAAGTACGCGGCAAAGCACATTAGAGTAAAGAAAAGCGGAGAGCGACAGAGGGGTGAGGGAAGTGGGTAGGGAGGGAGAGGCAATGACACTGACATTGAAGCTTTCTATTCTAATAGCTATTTTTTTTTTTTTTTTTTTGATTGTTTGGTTGGCTGTCGGCGTCTTCGGTCCCTCATACAAATAGGCCTTTTTTTTTTTTTTTTAAAATGTTTTTGCTTTTTTATTTTCTCTCTCTTTCACTCTCTGTGTCTCTCTGTGAGTGTAAGTCTGTGAGTCTCTTTGGTTGTGTAATGTATTTAGTGATGAACGTAAGTGTATTTGTTTTGTGGTTGTTGGCCCTCCTTTTTTTTTTTTTTTTGTTTGTTTGACTTCTGTAGGACGGGATGGGGGGATGGGGGGCAGCGTTTTCTCTCCGCGATGTACAGGACTGCACCTGCACACGTGCACATTGCACGCACTTTATATAAGTGGACATCCCCTTGCTCGCCAGTCCAGTGAACCACATGTGCATAGAAAGCAGGGCAGGAGGGGGAGGCCGCGAATTGGGCCAAACTCCGCCACTGAGAGCCACCCCTTCTCCTCCTCCTCCCTTCCTTTTCTTTTTTCTTTTTTTCTTTTTGCTTTTTTTCCCCTGTTATTGTGTGTTTTTTCTGTCTTGACGGTCTTCACGGCAGCAAAGCAGGGGAGGGGAGCGGCGGCAGCAGCAACGCACAGACAGACGCCGAGAGGAGGAGAAGAACCGCCAGAAAAGAAAAAAAAAAGAGGGAGTGGAAACAAAAAAATTCTTTCCTACATGAAAAACAAAAACAAAAACAAAAACAAAAAACAAAAGAAAACAAAACAAAAAAAAAAAAAAACGAAACGAAGTGCCAGCCGTCTTTTCTTTTTTTTTTTTCTACTGCTTTTATGCCTTTTCCTTTTCCTTTTTTTTTTTTTTGCTTCCTCACATACGCGTTTCACTCTGTTCCGTATATATCCATGCAAAATGATTGCTCTTTTTGTGCCTACTGGCCACGCGGCGGACGCCAAGCACCGCTGTCAGCAATGGGCTCTCAGCATTGGCATCCTTCTCCCCTGCCGCCCCCCCATTTCACTCACACATTCTCTCCTTCTCTCGCAGTAAAACGTCTCGTAAGGGAAGAGAGGTTCATCAACCAAATAAAGGAAAGGGAAAACACACACACACGAAAAAGGTGGGGAGGCGATAATGACCCAGGTTCAGTTTGAGGCTGCCGTGAATTACGTGCGATCGCTTCCGAAGGATGGCCCCGTGCAGCTGTCCAACGCGGTGAAGTTGGAGTTCTACGCGCTGTTCAAGCAGGCAACGGAGGGACCTGTCACGGGCGCGCAGCCGTGGGCGGTGCAGTTTGAGGCCCGTGCGAAGTGGGATGCACGCAACGCCATTGTTGACATGTCCAAGGAGGAGGCGATGCAGAAGTACGTGACGCGGCTGGTGGAGGTGACGAAAGAGACCGGACACCCGTGGACACCGCCTCAGTAGGTGAACGAGCCGGTGGAACGGCGAAGAGCAATTAAAAAAGAGGAAAAAAAGGCAAGGAAGGGAAGAAGACTTATCGCCGTGATGTGAGAGTCGTGGGTGATAAGAAAATGAGTAGAGAAAAGGAAGAAACAGAAGCAACAACCAATAAAAAAACATTACATGATTTACATTAACGCCAAAAATGACGGACATTGAGGTCTCCGCACGGACGCCAAATGAACGAACGGAAAACGCCACTCGGTGTGTTGTCTTTATTAGGGAAAAAAAAAAAAATAACGTGACGGGGAGGCACTGCGGTGGCGGAGGAGAGAGACGGAGGAGGAAAATGTTGGATGTGCTTTATGCGTGCCTTCTTTTCCCCACTTTTTTTTTTTTTTTGTATGCATGCATACTTGTCTACCTGCGCCATCGCTGCTCCGTCCTTCTCTCTCTCTCTCTCCCTCTGTGTTTTTGTGTGTACAGGTATTGTGAGAGGAGCGGGACAACGCGGTGAATATGCGCCCAGCGATGGGTGGCAATGATGGTGGTGGTGGGCATGTCACCGTTGCATTAAACCTCTCGGCAGGCCGCTGTACCGCGGCGGAGAACAACCAGCAACGCAGCACAATATGCGTCGTCCACAGCGACCCGACAACTGGCGATCCCGGCGGCTTGGCGATGAGAACGCCGTGTGTGTGGGCAAAGACGGGAGGTGAGGAGGAAGAGGCTGAAGAGGGAAACATTATTTTGGCTGTGCGTACACCGTTTCTCACGGCAGAAGGCGGCGAGGCAGGAGTGCCTCCGTACGCGGCGTACACATGTGAGCTGGCGAGACATGTGGCAACTGCACTCATGCAGAATGGCGGGGCAGAGCTGCTCACCGTCACTCATGGAGCCTCAGGCAGCGGGAAGTCTATCCAGCTTTTTGGTCCTACCGTCGGTGATGGTGTCGCTGGGATTGAAAAGGGGCATTGCATACACGGGAATGGCAGTGGCCTGTTCGCTTCCGTCCTGCAAGAAATATTTGCCGCTGCGGATTTTGACCCATGTGTGGCCCTCAGCGTCGTCGAGTGCAGGCCCTCTTCTGACGGGGACGATGACACTCATCCCTGCAATGGAACGATGGGGCACATGAACGGTGATGATGATGATGATGATGATGATGATGAAAGGATGATGTCCATTGAGGCCATCGACCTGCTTGCACGAGCCACTGATACTCGTTCTCCTACAGGCTGCTTCATGGAGGATTACGCAGACATCCCCGCCACGCGCTACGTTCGATGCGGCAGCGTCACAGAAACCCTGGCCGTGCTGCAGACGGCACTCTCTCACTCGCTTGCCTGGCAGTCAGTGAGCACGGCCCTGAGTCAAGGGCACGCAGATGTCTTTGGAATGCCTGATACAAGATTAAATGCGGAGCGACGACGTCGTGCGGCGGAGGCAATAGCGGCAGAGGAGCGACAGCGAAAAGAATCTTTCGGAGCTTCATGCACCTTGAGTAGTGCTGAATTTTTACGTCCAACGGCGGGTGCAAGTTCTCATGTTCTTGTGACGCTTCTACTTCGTTACGGCGATGGTGTGACGAGTATATGGCGTGTGTGGGACTTGTCGGGTCCCACCGTGTGGGTCGATGACGGGAGTCCCGCTTTGCGAATGGCCTTTAAGACACACGTAGCACTTTCACTTATGGCGCACCGCTACATGCACCGAGACCAGCTTCAGGGTGGATGGTGGACTGCCACCCCTCCGCCGGAGCAGATTGAGGAGATCATTCCACTTTTTTCAAAACCCCGGCCTGGAAGAAAGGGAGTGGACGGGGTTGTCGCCATGATTGAGGCAAGTATACAGCACTCATGCTCCGCTGTCGTTTGGATTGCCTCGCTGCGATTTGACGCCTGCTACGATGACATCAATTGGGAAGTGCTGGAAGCCGCGGCGTCTCTTTTGGCGGGCTCCGAAGAGACGAATGGCAAAGTCATCGCAGAGCTGCGGCGCAGGCGGCGGCAGGAGAATTTAGATGCCGCTGCTCGTGTGCTGGACATGTTTGCGATTCCCTTTTCGCCTCCGGCGTGGCGGCTGCAGGGTCCTGCTGGCAGAACACTTCTGAATCTCTCGACATCATCCCCCAATGCGTCTCCTCCAATGACAAGAACGACGACAGCAACGGCGGCGTCTCGAGAACTCCGCCTCATCTCCCCGAAGAGGGAAGCGGAGAAGGGAGTGATGCCGGTGCCGGAGAAAAACATCAACTCCATTGTTTCTTCTGCGGGTGCCGCTCTTATAGAGACCTCTGCGGCGGTTCACAATTCCTCCGTCCTTCCCCTGTCTCTTCCTTTGGGCACAGCCACCGTTGCTGTCGCTGATGTGGGGATTTCTCCTTGGGCATCATTTGTTGATAAAGTGTCATGTCTGGAGGCTCAGTGTCTCCACAGAGGCCAAAGACCACAAAACGAGCTAAGAGAGCAGCGACGGGAGGGCGAAGGCCAGGGATGCTCATCGCAGTCCGCACTACCGCTACCATCACCGTCGTTATTATCACCGCCTGTGCCGTCGTATGTGTCGTCATTGGGTGACGAGGCGGGTGTTTGTACCAAGAGTTCATGCGGTGTGTCGCCGTTGTCTCCGCCGTCCGTGGCGGGAACAGAGCACCCCGTGGAGCCCGTAACGACGGCGCATGAATTGAAATGGAAGATATACTCCTGGGACACTTCCGCCGATGAGGATGCGGCGGAGACATCGTCTATCGCGTGGCGTGCCTCGCAGGAAGACGGCGTCGATAGCGAGGACGTGAGGCAGTGGGGGGTTGGGGCGGTTCCTTTGCCGAGCAACGGGCTGACGGATCTTGCCAGCACCGTTCGGCTCCTGCTTGAGGAGCCGCTGGCGAAGCTGCGAGAAATTTCCACGCAGTACGAAGAAGAATTCAAGCTCCACCATCGTCGTGTGATTGCCCAGCTGCATGAACTGCTTTCCTCGGACGCGGCTACACTGGAGGAGCTGCAGAGGCGCGTCAAGGCACTGGTGGCAGCGGAGGAAGAAGTAGCGGCGAGGGCGTTACACGGCGGTCGTGACGCCGTTGATCAGCAGCAACGTCATCGTTATTTCCGCCGCCGTAGGGAGACAACATCCGTGGAAGCATTTGGGCCCTCCGTTTCCCTGCAAACCACATTAGATCGTGAGGTGACGGGATGCACTTCCAGCAACGGCGGCAGTGACCGAAGCAACAACAAAAATAACGGTGAGAGCGCAAGGCCCTGTGGATGCGAAAATGGGAGGCATCGAAAGTGTACCGCGGCAGCCTCCACAAGAGAGTTATTGGTGGCCGAGCGAAAGATCCGCTTTCTGGAGCGGCAACTGCTGCGCTTGGAGGGTGAGAACATAAGGCTGCGGGCTGAATTGTCTTCACGTCGCGTGGGAGGTGGTGCGGTGGCGAACGTGCAGAGTCTCGAGGGGGTTTTCAACGACATTTTGCAGCGTTGCAATGCGCTCTACGCAAAGAAGGCAGCGGAGGTGAATCGCATACAGCGAAGATACAACACGTTACTGGACGCCTTCAGACGTCTTCAGCGGCAGCAGCAGCAAGAGGAGAGGCCAACGACGATGATGCCAGTGGCGGCAAATGCGGTACTGCAGGATGCCGAAGTGATGCGCAGCGAGGCGGCGAAGCCGCATTTTGCAGTTGCCAAGAACCGCTGCCATGCTCACCGCATAGATTGCAGTCCCCAGGTGTGGAATAACACTTCCCCGCCGGTCGATCTCGTTGCTCCCCCATCTATGGAACATGTTGGGGATGTCTCCGCGATTGACCAACTGCGTCGCCTGCTGCTGCGGGCCACAAAGTTCACGACACCTTCCACGGGATCACCACCGCCGCAGGACACATCTAATGGCGTTGCGCTTTCCATTGACCGCGGGTCGAACGCATCCTGCCAGCTCTGTGAAAAGGAGGAGACGGGGGATGACATCTTCACTGGTCTGCATGCTTTTCGCGAGGCTGCAGAGGCTGCACGAAATAGTGCGCTTAGAGCCCTTTTTGTTGCAAAGCAGGCTGTACAGAAGCCACAGTCTCCTTTGCCAACATCGCAGTTATTACCATATGCTCCTTCCACTGTTGACTCCGTCGGTGGCGGTTATACGCTTGTGACGGATGTTCATACGCTGCCATTTGACGCGGGTGCGGCATTGGAACGCGAAGAGGCTAATGTCTATCGGGACGTTGGCTCACTTCAGCGTGAGGCAGCGGAACTGGAACACGCAGCCATAGAGGCCATTTCACGTGAGCGGCAGTTGCTAAGTAGAGTTCTTTTGACCTAGCTGCTTCTTTCCCCCTCTCAACCGAGAAGGCAGCCAGGACGACGTGAGGGGCTGCCGTTCTTTGTGTTTTCGGAGTGATGCGAAAAGAAGAAGAAGAAAAGGACGACACTAGACTACAGTGGATTTTTTTTCTCTGTGCAACGCTGTGCACATCTCTTTGATACATGCATGCGCCGGTATTTGCTGCGTTTTTATTTATTTATTTACTCCGTGTGTGGCTGTTGTTGACATGAGTTTGTGTGCCCACATGCAGGGCGGAGAGGGGAACGATGGCCGTGATGATGGGGACTGTAATGTGCTGAGAAGGACGTGACATGTGTTTTTATTTTTATTTTTATTTTTATTTTATTTTTTTCTACACAACAGCGACCGCAGCGAGGCCCACTATAGACTGTAGAAGGTGAGGGGAACAGGGGCGGGCTCGGAGGAACGACGGCTGAAGGATACATCTGAAGCACACATTCTTCCCGTTATAAATCAGACGAAGTTGACACAGACACAAACATAGATAGAGGGAGTGGGAGGAAAATAAGGAAAGGGGCCGGTTGACCACGTTTTTTCTGTTCCTATTTTCTTTTTTTGCCTAAAAAAAAACAACAACATATACACATACCGATATACATAAAGTACATACATATATATCGTGTCGCGATTTTCCTTCCGAGCAGCCTTCGGGCACAATTATAAATAATTACGTATGAGTTCGTACTGTGAGGTGTGCCGCGGACTATTTGACATCCCCCACTACCACGGCGACGGGGATACTCCAGTGAGAGTTCCAGAAGCTCTCTCTCCTTTACGCGCTGCTGCTGCTGCATCGTCCACTGCTGCGCCGGTGTGTGGTCGCAGTAGCAGCAGCTATCGCAGTAGCCCGGCGTTTGCCGTAAGGAGTCGGGGCAGCAGTTCGCAGCAACGGCGTCAAGGATCCTTGAGTCGTCGTCGTCGACCGTCAGCGTCGTCTTCTCATGTCTCGCCGGCCGCTGGGCGGGAGAGGGGTGGGTCACGGCGGGGATCGCCGCGAACACCATCGGCCGTGGGTGTGGAGCGGGAAACCGCTTCCACGCTTCTGCGCATGAGTTCTCCGGCTCGCGCCAGCGCACTGGTCCGCACCCCGAGTCCTGGCCTTTTTTTACGGAACTGCGGCGGAAAGACATCAACGAGTCGTCGACACGCGCGAAGCTGGCGGAGTATTCTCACGCCGCAGTCCAAAGAAAGGGTACGGTCGTTGAGTGCAGGCCACGTGGCCAAAGAACACATGAAAAGGCGTTTGGACCATCTGCATGAAACATTAGAGCGCATCCGCGAGGCGGTGCGGAGGGACAACGCGGCCGCTGGCTCACGCGGACCATCGTCAATTCTTCATCCTGCTGCTGCTGTTTTTGCTTCTGGCGGTGTTGGTGGCGACGCTACGGCGAAGTCGTGGCATTTAGACGACGACGACGACGACAAAAACAACAACAACAGCAGCAGCAGTGGTATTAGCGGTCGAAGCAATAGCGACGGAGTCGGTGTGGGTGTTGCATCGTCACAGCCCGTTTTTTGCGGTTCAGCAGGCGGTACAAATGACGGGTTGCCGAATTTATGCCCCTGCCGTAGTTCCTCGTGTAGTCGCGGGTTGAGCTTTGCCACGTCACGGGGATCTCCGTCTGAAACCATTTTACCACGCGAGGTCACGGAGACGCACGCATACGACGGGGAAGATGCTGCCGAATTGCGGCCATTTTCTTCTTCGTGCGAGAAGAGTTCCTCCTTGCGAGAGGGTCTGACGCCGTTCATGGCCGCGCCCTCCTCTTTTTCTCCACCCGGCACGACTTCTGCAGCAGCAGCACCTACGACAGGCCCTCAATGCCACCTGTCGGCGGGTATGGCGGCCATTTCAGCAGGGACGCAAACATCCGAGTTACCGGCAGCGAAATTGCCGCGGGGAGAGTTTCCCTCTTCCCCTTCATCCGCAAGCCGCGGGACTGGGGCAAATAGCAACGCCGCATTTACTCACCTGGAGGCGCTTCGGGAGGGATTTGTGGAACTTTGCAGCGCTGTGCGGGAAGATCTCCAGGCCCTGCACATTCGAGTGAATGCAATACAGAGACCGCAGGCGCAGCAACAGCAAAAAGAGCCGTCCACTTCGGAGAGTGTGCCACCTCAGCATGTGGAGGGGAGGGCCTATGAGAATGCTGCCGCGGGATTATTGCAGAAGTCTACATCGTACGAAAAGTTGTTGGCTGAGCTGCAGCAGTACACCGTTTTGACCGTCCACAAGGTTCTTCAGCAACAGAAGCAGCAGCAACAGAAACAGCAACAGCAACAGCAACAGCAACAGCAAGAACCAAAGGAGCGTTACGGGGGTCATTACGGCTTTGCTCCGACGCTTTCAGAAGCTATGCCCTTCACGTCACTCCATTTACAGCCAATAAAGCCTTCACTTCCACAGTGGAACTCTTTGGCCACGGATGACATGTACGCTTGGTCATCAGAGACATTTGATGCCCACGTGCGTTCCGCCGTCCGGGCCATTTTACATGAGGACAGCTTCCGGCACGATGCGAGGGAACTACTTGCAGAACAACAGGCTCAACGAAGTGAAATGAAGGCGTTGCGGCACGAGTGGAAACGCCGCTGCAAAGAATTGGAAGAGCAACTTAACGCGCTTACAGACGCCACGGAGTCCATGCGACTGGACGTGGAGGAGTTACGACTGCAGGCCGTAGGACCACCAACGCCACCTCCGCCGCCAGCCAAAATATCATCTGTTGCACCCACGTCCACGCTGTTGCCGCAGCATACTTTGTTGCCACCTTCTAGTGGGGTGGATCCTCCTCTTCCCGCCCGAGCTGCGACCCTCGCCGACGCGGTGCCAGAGGTATGGGAAGATCGGTTGGTGAAACGCGTTCAACAACTTATTGCAGAATCCGAGGAGCGTTGGTTGCAACGTGTCCAAGGGGAAATTGTGCAGCCAGTGCTTGAGCATGTGCGCCGGTTGATGTCGGCTCATCAGTCTATGATTGAAACTGTTGTGGAGAGCCGCTGTGCGCAGTTTGAGACCTACGTTGACCGTGGCCGTCACGGGTGGGAGGTACAGGTTGCAGAGCTGCGTTCGCGTGTCAGTTCGCTTCGTGGCGACATGCATCGTGCTCTGAAAGATCTCTGTCAGAACCTCAACATGGCCTGCCCAGGACTCTGAGGTTGCGTTCTTTTGTATAATGTTTATTTCTTATAACATTGTACCAATTGTCTCTCCCCGTCGTTGGACTAGTCACGACAAGAGAATTTTTTGCTTGTTTATTTCCAACCCCTTTTTTCCCCCCATTGTGTGTCAGTTTTGTTCTGTGCCTTTTTCCTTTTCCTTCCCTCTTCTTTTTTTCTCTGCGCTTATGGAAACGGGGATGCGCAGAAGAGATGCCACTTGCGGCATCAAATTTTTTTGCGAGACGCCTGGGCCAAAAGTCATGGTTGAGTCTTTCCAGCAGCAGCGTCGGTTCTGCGGTTTGGCGTCGCTCGTCACCACCGCCATCGCCATCGTTGGTGTCTGTCGCTGCTGCTGTTATGCTCGTTAACTGCGGCACGGCTCTGGGCTCGTTATGTTGCCAGCGTCGGGGTCAAAGCGCGCTACACAAACTACTGCAGGACCCCAGCGATCCGTATCTGCGGCCGATTCAGGACCTTGATATGCCGCAAATAGCCGCCATAGCAAAGAATGGAAAGAAGGAGGCTCAACATCTCTTGGATGGACTGACTGCCATCACAGTCTCTCTCTCTGTGCAGCTGGGTGGCAACGGAGTGACGGAGGAGGATATTGACGCCGCGTTCTCTGTGTACACGGAAGTGTTGCGTCATGCACCAGGAACGGCGGGCGCCGCAGGCATCGGTGATGACGCGGGAAGCGTGTCGGAGGATGTTTGGCGGATGGAATGGGAGCGGCCACTGGAGGAGTTCCGCGTCGTGTTTCGCTTGACTGGTGACACACGGCTCTCTTAAAAAATATTTGTGGTTATGTCACCCGTATGGATTTTGCCTGATTTTTCTCTTTTTTTTTTTACTTTATTATTATTATTAAATGTGGCTACGCTGCGAGATGGGCTGATGACCGCTTTTTTTTTTTTTTCTTTTGCTTTTATTACACCGAAGTTTTATTGTGACAGCGTCGGTGAACTTATCGAGGGGGGCGGCGGGAAGGCGTATAAGGTGACGCGGCCTTTGCCCACATATCGTTCTAAATTGAAGAGGGCACATAGAAAACATAGAAAACATGTCCACAGCGGAGGAGGCGGAGGCGATGTGGTTTGCCGCCCAGCGAGAAACGTATGGCAACGAAAATGAAGAAGAAGAGGACGAGGAGTTGCTGCGGGGTGTGCCGTGCGCTGACGACGTTGTTCCCATGTATAGAAACCCCGCCATGCAACAACAGCCACAGTTGGTGGATGCTGTCAAGGAAACCACAGGCATGAGTGACGATTTGTCGTGTGTGGAGCCGTCGTTGCAAGCGGCAGCGACGACGACGATGGCAAGTGGCATCTGCGTGTATCCGCCGCTGTCGCGGGTGAGCTTCATGATGCGTGGCGACAACGGTGTGGTACGTTGGGTGACCGCATCCGGACTGAAGGCGGAAACGGCCTCGCGGAAACGCGGAAGGGAAGACAGTGGGGAAAAAGAGGAAGAGGAGGAAGAAGAGAAGGAGTGGGTGAGGGACGTGCGGGATTTGCGCAGACGACATGGCGGCAGCGGTCTTGGGCATGTGAACATCCCTGCACTTTTGCAAGGACTTTACGATGAGGCGGCGAATGGCGACGAAAGCCGCGTGGTGCCGCCGACAACACCGACGCCATTCCCACCCGAGCAGCGGGGGACGAAGAGGAGGGGGAGGGACGAGGAGGCGCTGTGGGTCATGAAGTACAGCCCCAAACACTTTCGCGAGCTTCTCAGCGATGACAACACCAATCTCAAGCTGCTTCAATGGCTGAAGAGCTGGGATGCATACATCTTTCAGGACACACCTGCTACACGTAATAAAGGCAATAATGATGACGTTGGCGCAATTGCTACGAATAATACTACAGCAGCAGCTAATAACGAGACTTCTGCTCCTACGAGGCCTGAGGAACGTCTGGCTGTTTTGGTGGGTCCGCCAGGTGTTGGGAAAACGACACTGGCTCATGTGCTTGCCGCGCATTGCGGGTATGAAACCGTCGAGATTAACGCGAGTGTGGACCGCACCTCATCGGCGATGGAGCGGGCCATACAACTCGCGGTATCCCCAGCGCGTGGAAGACGACGTGCGCTGCCCTTATCATCATTGTCAACTTCATCTTCAAATGTGGACGGCGCGTCCAAGGCGACATTAAAGACAAGAGAGGCGGGTGTGTCGCTTGTAGACATGCTGCTTCGCCCCAAGTGCCTTATTATTGACGAGATGGATGGCATTGCCGCAAATGTGGCTGCCTTTCTCCTTCAACAGGATATTCACTGCCCCGTGTTTTGTCTCTGCAATGACTTTTATGTGCCCTCGCTCCGATCCCTGCGGCGGCAGTGCCATCATGTGTACTACTTTCCACCCATTCGTCCACAGCGTTTGCTGTCTCGTTTGACTGAGATTGCGGAGCTTGAGGGTTTGTCCGTGAGCAAGCCGGTTCTTGCCGATTTAGTGCAGTCAAGCAACGGCGATGTTCGATGCTGCTTGAATACACTGCAGTTCTTGTGCCGCCACACCTCACCGACTGGGGGAGAGCGGGATCCTTTGCAGCTGATGCGGGAGATGCAGGGGAAGGACTCCAAGCTTGGGTTGTGGGACACATGGAGGCTTTTTTTTGAACGCCAGGAACGCAGCAAGTACATCCACCTCCTTCGCAAGGAGTACACCATGGACTACGGGGCAACGGTGATGGCGGGAAATCAACACAAGCTGGCAGGAACGGAGATGACGGGGAGGAATGGAGGCTCCTTGCATTCCACAGAGGATCCAGCACAACGCCAGGAAGAGGAGCATGTGGCTCTGGGGTTTCGTGTGGATCCGGGTTATGTTTACGTGTCTCGTGTGGCGCAGCAGTGCGCCGACACAAGCATTCTCCTCGATGGTCTTCAGGAGTTTTACGTGCAGCGGTCGTATGCGGACTATTCCTTCAAACAAACCCAACATATGGCGGATGCCTTTTCGTTTCAGGACAATCTTGCCACGCGTTCCTACCGCGATGCTGCTTCCGCCGTACTCATACCGTTTGTAGAGCAATACGCTTGCACGACGGCAGCTGTCTGTTTTGTCTGCTGCAGTTCTTTGCGCAGAGCGGGAGCGCATATTGGATTTCCTCGCGAGTGTGCGATGCTGAGTCAACGCATGTCGGAGTCTGTAAACATTGCCCGCACTTTCCGCGAAGGCTGCCACGGTGAGACGGCAGCACACATGTGTTCACTCGACGCCATCTCGCAGGAAATTGCGCCGCTGCTACTGCGTTCCTTACTTGATTTATCGCTGCGTGTTCCCGCCCACTCTTTTGCGTCCCTGTCTGCACTGAACCTGCAGGATCAACAGCTGCTGCTTGCATCCGTTGCGCGCCATGCAGAGTACGGCATCACGTACGCACGTCTGTCAAGAGCTCGGAATGAAAGCAACGAGGCGGATGACCCGGTGGAGGAGCACTGGGAGCTGACGCCGCCCATTCATCGTCTTGGGTGCGTTCTTCGCGAGGCTGCGAGCTCAACTCCCCTTGCACGGCGAGGCACTCTGGCAGCGCCAGCGCCACAAACGACTGCTTCTGCCTCGCTGCGGCCTGCAGCGTCGATTATGGTGCTGCGGGTGACAGAGGAGCTGAAACAGCTGATGGTGGGGGAAATACAGCGCTTCGTCATCCAACGGAATGCGGCAAACACGGCGAGAAAAACCACCAACACGAACCAGCCGCCCCAAGCGGTGAGGAAGGCGGTGACTGTGTTGACCGCGGGGCATATAGGTGGGCGGGAGAAGAGGAATAAGGTGGAAGAGGAAGAGGAGGAGGAGGAAAAGGAAATGATGGCATCTGTCAAGAAGGCAATGAAGACAAGTCACACTGCCGCCTCCACACCACCGGGGGTGCCGGAGGCGGCATCCGCCCCAAAGTCCCGACCGCCAACTGGAAAAAGAGACTTTTTCGGTCGTCTTATTCCCGAAGTTGCGGCGAAGTTGTCACCGTCAACAACATGCAAGAAGCCAACAGCGGCGGCGACAACCAACGTGACCGTGCAGTACATCTACCACGACGGCTCCACCAACGCCGTTCGGATTCCTGCTGTATTCGAGGACTTTTAGGGTGGATGCGGATGTGACCGTGCTTTTAGGAGCTTCTGAAGAGAATGATCGCGAGGAATGCTGACTAACCCTAATTAATGTATATGTGTCCTGATAAAATAATATGCTCTTCTTTACGATACTTTTCTTTCTTATGAATTTTAGGAAGAAACAAGACTTCAAGGACATCGGGGAACCAATAGCAGCCAGATTTTTTTTTTACTTTTAAAATTTACAGACACAGCGAGGTTGGTTTAAGGAAATGGCATTGGTTCCTTACACGGCAACAGAGTGGAGCCATATTGGTGCCCGTCTTTCAGAATGGGTACGCCAGCATGGCGCTATCGAGGTGCAGCTCACCTTCCTTGATGAAGACGAGCCGTCGGATGCGACGTTAACTGTGGCCAATTCAACGACAGGCTTGCGCTTGGTTTCAGGGAACATCGCCAAACCCTGGGAGGATTCGAGCCTTGCAGGACACGTTGCGAATCTCCGGGCGCCCCAAGTACCAAGATTCGAGGCTCAAGTGATCCTGCCCATCATTGGGGCGACCCGTGGGTTAAGGGCCAAGCAAGGGCTCACCATTGCTGAAAGGGAGCGCTTGAGTGCTGACTACGCCCACGCCGTCGCCAACACGCAGAACCCAAACGCCCGGCTTCATTCGCGGGTGGGAGGATCACATAACAGCCTATCGGCGCGCGAATCTAACATTGCGGTCGCCGACGGCCTTCCTGCGGAACGAGAATGCGCGCTCGCCGGAAGCGAACAGCAAGTGGAGGCGACCCGCGCCCGAACACAGGAACGCGAATACCAATTGAGGGCCGCCAATGCCCAGCTCCACGAACGAGAGGCACGCGTTTACGCAAGAGAGGCGCAGCAAGCCGCGCGGGTTGCGGAGACGGCGGGCCAGGATGAAGCCCCCGCCACTCGGAGAGGCCCGACAGATGGACCTGTCAGGCGTCAAAATACGGCCGAAGACGGCGTTATCACACAACCGCATCAAACGAATATCTTGATGGCGGGTGGCGTGCCGTCACGCGCGGCCGGAATCAGCCTGGCTGGAGAGAGACGGCAGGCTATTCCCCGGACGTCTCAGGGCAATTTTGGGAGACCACATTTCCACCCCTCCATGCCTTTGCCTCCCCGCAACTTCTCCTTGGACGCCCATTCCGGTTCACCTACGGAAGAGGAACGAAAGTTTCTCCCATTCGACGTTGCCACGTGGCCCCCGCGTGTTTGGAATAAGGGCATTTCCGGAGTCGTTTTCGACCTCCAGTGCGCATACCAATGCTGGCACCAGGACGAAGAGCAGGTTAAACTTGCCTTTGACAATTTGGTCGAGTGGATCGGCGTGCTGGAAGGCCTGCAGGATCCCACCGATCGCTTTATGAATTTGGGCAGGTCCCTGCTGAATACATTCCGGATGCAGCTCACGATTGCATCCGATCCCGGCATCCCGCTCTCCACACTGCGCGCCCGTCTTCACACCGCCGTTAATAAGGCCGACACCTTCGCGAGGGCAGTCCAGCCTCTCGTCGATCGGCGAGAAACCCAACGCACTTTGCGATGCCAACGTTGTCATACCTATGGACACGAGGCATCTACATGCAATATGCGCCCCAGAGGAAATTACTCACAATACAGGCGCCCATCAAAAAATGGCAGAGGGGCTGCCGCACGCCGCTCATGAATGCTGGCGACGGCAGCCCCATCCATTCCGCCACCTCCGGCTATTACGCACAGGCAGCGCACCGCACCGCCGACGCTCCACCCGATCTTTCAAATCGCCCGACGCAATCGTCGAGAAGGGCAATGGAGCTTATCCGTAAACGACGCTCGACTGTGGTACGACGAATCACCGACATCCCCGCTTTGGGCCAGCTATGCGAGGAGAGCGAAAGAGGTGGCTCGATAAATGTGGGCGCCGTCCCTGTGGGAGCGGTGAATTTCCCTAGCGGGGCAATTTTCAATGTTTTTTGCTGCGCGCACGAACAGCCGATGAACAAGGAGAGCCGTGCGGCCTTTTGGCGGCAATCGATGTAGCGCCACCGACCCGACTACAGTACGCCAGGATGCTGCGGTCTGTGTTGGAAATGTATCGAACCCCGCTGGGCATGATGATTCTGGGGTTACAAAAGATTGCGGCGCGATAAGAGGCGAAGCAGGCGCACCCCTTGACAGAGGAAGAGATGAATCAAGTTATCCGCAGCCGGACCGATTGGAGGGAACGCGTTGTCTTACGACTTGCGTGGATGACGGCGAGTCGTTGGTCCGAGATTGCGGCCTTGACACCCACAACAATTTTACAATGGAGCGTGACGGGACCTTAATTTTGGATTGGTCCGTGGCGCCGAAGACGGCGAAAGCGGATCCCCACCACGCCTCGCGGTTCGTGAGGATACGAGGGCAGGACGCCTTCGACACTATAAAGTTATGCGGGACACTTCAAGAGAACGAAAAGCCCACGAATCTTACGACTGCCAAAGTCGAACGAGTTCTGGTTCCTTGGAATGCCACGGCGCATTCCATAAAACGCGGCGCGTTGAGGCACGCTGCTGAAATCGTGGAGACGCACAATTTGAATCCACACGTGATCTCGCTGTTGGCGAAGCACGTCAATCCGTTCGACCTTCCCCAGAATACTGTTCGATATTTGGGGAAGTACACCACAATGCTGACCCAGGTGTCGTCGCTGGTCGCATTGATCTGAAGGGAGAAACTGCGGACGGGCATGAACCCTGGCTGAGAGCAGAGGAGCGTTTTCCCATGATTTTAATCACAATCATGCTGCTACAATAACGAGACACGCGACAAGGACGGGCCTGACCACACCACGAGGTGAACACGCTATCCCGTTACAGCGAGTCAACGTGCCCGTATTGAATCCGGAGTGGATCATGAGTCGGTTGAACCCGGCTACCTTGGAGAGGCTCATGCAAGTTTGGGGACTCGTCGGGCGGTCCTCTTTCCCTCCGTCTTCCTCATACGGTGAAGCGCGCGAAGGCTTACGGAGGATTCCAACCGCTGACGCGCATTTGCTACGAAAAGCGGGAATTATCGAGGACGCATTGTCCACAATAACAGGCGGATGGATAATACCTTTTTCGGTTGTGGCGGAGAAAACCACCGGTTTACGACGAAGATGGATCGCGTGGCCACGCGACAAGAACAGAGAAGACCCTTGCGAGGCTCATGCTCCTCTTTTACATATTGCTCATTATTTACTGCCTGTGATTGCTGAGGCCGCTTCCTGCCTGGATTTAAAGGCATGCTTTTTCTAAAGTCTCTTTACCGCAGGAGACTCGGCATCTCTTTCGATGCCGCGTGGAGGACGGCACGCTGGTGGAGCTGACACGGCTCCCAATGGGATACAAGGCCAGCCCAGAAATTCTCCAGATTATTATTACTTCGGCAATTGCGGGGGTGACGACGGTGGTTCACTTTCTCCGGGCCGCACCTCCATTGGTGCGTATCGTCGTATGGATCGGCAATATGCGCATTGCAGGGTCGAAAAGCGATGTGACATTGTGGGAGGCCCAAGTGCTTCGTAATGCGGACGGCTGTCACGCCACGATGGGGGAGGAACGCGAATCGGGCGCCACGCAGTACACCTTCCTGGGGGTGCAGTTTGATCTCAGACACACCAGACGGTGTCACTGAGTGAGAGTTTGTGCGGTCTGCATGCGCCATGCCGGCGCTCAATTCTTTAACCATCGCAGAAATGGAGGTTATGGTGTCACGCTTTTTGAATGCGGCTGCCATTTTGGGGACGCGTTTATATGACCACTACTTTTTCATTAAGGCAGTGCGACGACGATTATCCGCAATTAACCTGGGAATTGTGCAGGAAACATCCCTGGCAAACCTTCCGCCGTCAGTGGCTGGTTTGGGCGAGAGACTACGACACATCATCGAGAATATAATCGTAAGCGAGTGATCAAGCCCACAGAAAAGGCATCGGCCGCCATCATCACGGGTGCATTGCTCCATGGATGGGGAGCCGTTTTTATTCCAGACTCCGGCGACGTTAAAATTGCCAGAGGGAATGGGGGAAGAGACCTTTTCTTATCATGCAGGCCGAGGCGCGCGCGGTACGCTTAGCCTTATCGGCCTTTTCCGCCATCTTGCCATCCACCATGGACTTTTGGGTGGACAGCGCTTCGCTGCAAGGAGCGGCGAATAAAGGCAGCTCAAAATCGCACGCTTTGACGTGGGAGCTGCGACGGATATATGAGTTTTTGGACTCTCGCAGATTACAGGCATCCTTTGCCTACGTGCGGTCTGCAGAAAACCCCGCAGACGGCCTATCACGCGGTCGTGTTTTTACACTTCAGGAATTGGCGAAGGGGTGGGACTTGCTAAGGGGAGCGGCGGGGTCTTGTGGCTGGAAGACCCCAAAGCCTGCCACTTCGTAAGTAATTATCTTTCAGATTCTAGCTGAGGACAAAATACCATGCGAATGGTCAATAGAATTTATTGATTGGATAAAAAGGAACCATTGAGGCGATTAACTAACTCTGCGATAAACCTCTTTTCCCCTATCTTGTTTGGTTTCTATAGGAAATTTCAGGATTCGGCCAGCGCCAAAGAAGATTATTCCCCATTTTTTTTTGTCCCTTTTGTTTATCCTTCGTACCTTTGCTGCCGTGGGGCCAATATTACCAGCGCCACCGATGAAACTAAAACTGCCTTCTTTTCTTTTTTTTTTTTAATTCTTTCTTTTGGCCCACTTCTTTACGGCGACTGGCGTTTCAACAGTCATGGCCTCCAGCGCTGCTTCCACTCGGCGTCTCACCTCTAGTTCATCGCCTCTAGCGAGTACACCACCAGTGACAACAACAACAACAACAACAACGACAGGGACATTGTCGGCGTCTGATCCCAGACAACAACGGCAGTCTACATCATCACAAAGCCCGACGGGGGCGCCGACGAACATAAGCACAAGCAACGACGCACCGGGTCCGCTTTATTCGGAAGATGGCGAACTGCCGGAGGAGGTTCTGTCATATTTTGAGCACTGGGCCTCCCCAACGGAAGTTCTTCAACTTCGCACCCTATGCGGTGATATCGTGAACAAGTACAAGAACGAGACCGCGAAGCTTCTTCGTGAGCTGGAAGAGGTGAAACGAGGGCGTGATGCACTGCAGCGCGAGGCGCAGGAGACACGGAGGCTGCGAGAGCTCTATTCAAAGGCAGAAGCCGAGTACGAGAAGGCGCGCAAGGAGCGTTCACAATGGAGTGAGGAACGTGAGCTCCTTCGGCTGCGATTGCAGCGACTTAGTGTCGAGAATCAACGACTTCAACAGATTCTCGCCAGCCGGGGTCGCTGCCCCAACCCAAATCAGCTGGGTGGAAGGACGGCGGCGGCACCATTGAGTTTGGGTGATGGCAGCGGTGCGGCGTTTACTTCCACAACAACGCCGCTTTTTACGGGCTCTTCGATACCCACACCAACAGCTAGTTCGAGTTCAGCCGCAAGGCAACCACATGGAGGCTCCGCGACACAGGAGCGGAAAAAGCAGCAGCAACAGCACCCTGTGGAACATGATGCGGCTAGTGGTGGTAATTACAGCAGTGGCATGGGGGGTGATGATTACTATTACAGTGGCAGTCACAACAACAACAGTAGCAGCAGCAGTAGTAGCGGCGATATCAATGGGGCCTTGCGTGAGCAGCTGCGCCTCATTGAAGAGATCCATCGTTGCTCCACGGAGTACGCGGAGTTGGAAGCACGGTTTTATTTTGCCCAGACGCTCTGGGACATTACCGCCACGCGAGGAGAGCAGCGCTCGATGCTGCTTGTGGCTGAGAATGAAAAACTGAAGGGCCAGCTGCGGCACTGGCGGAGTGTCGCGGAGGATAACGCGGGCCGCCTTGACACCACCAAAGTGCAGCTGCGTGATCGCTGCAACGACGTGGAAGAAGCACGACGTGCTCTGCAGGCTGCTCATGCGGCACGACAGACCGCTGTAGCAGCGGAGCGAAGTGCCGCAGAGGAATCCATGTCGTCCATAAAGGCAGCCCACGCTGAGGAACTCGCACGCGTCCAGCAGCAGCTGCAAGTGGCTCTCGATGACTCTTCTCGGACACGTGACAAGCTTCAGGGAGCATTGGAAGCGGCACAGAGGCGGGCGGATGCGCAGCGGGAAGAGCTTTTGGCCGACGTGGGTGCCGCCGAGCAGAAGTATGCTGACGCGTTGCGAACACAACAAGAACTGGAAACGACGTTGGCGGAGGCGACGTCACAAAACGAGCGGCAACAGGCACAAATGGAGCGCGAGCTGCGGCTACTTCGCTCTGCCCAGGAGACCGCTGTGAAGAAGAGGGACGAACAGTCTGCGGTGCTTGAGAAGACGCTGGACGAGAACACAGGGCTGACGGCGAGGTTGCTTGAGGCGGAAGAGGAGCTGCGGACGGTGAATGCCCAGCTGAACGTGGCACTTGAGAAACTGCAGCATGCCGGTGAGCTGGAGGAGGCGTTAGTAAGCGCGCGCGCCAGGGCAGAGGAGTTGGAATTGGAGGTGCAGACGCAACAGTCCTATTACGCAGAGCAGCTGCGGATGCACCAGACAGCGCTGGGTGAGCTGCAGAAGCAGCGGGATGATGAGGTGCGGCGACTTGGCCGTGCGATTGAGCGGCTGCAGCGGCGGTATGCGTCGAATAAACTGCGACTCGTTGCTGCGGTAAAAGGCATTGGACGAGCAGCCGATGCAGGGCCAATTTCGCCGCCTCCGATGATGTGCGGGAAAGAAGAACAAGCAGCGGCACAACCAAGCACGGTGAGGACGTTTCCGTTGGCTGAAGAGACAACGGGGACAGATGCCGTCCTTCTCCTGCAGCAGTCGACGGCCATTGTAGCCGCCCTGGCCCGCACACTAAATCGTGAGACCCACGCGGCATAGAAGTGATTGCATAGAGAATATATATATATATATATATATGCATACAGAAAGAGAGAGAGTGAGGGAGAGAAAGAAATGAAATGTGTGGGTGAGTGAGCGAGTGATGTCTCTTTGAAGCAAAACCACAAGGCAGGGGTGGACGGAGTTGAAATACCGGCCGACTTTTACCGCTGCCAATTCCAGAGCGTTTTTTTTTTTGCTTTTTTTTTGTTGTTGTCACTTTATCCGCCCTTTTTTTTTCTTTTTTTTGTCTGATGTCCCTTGCTCAGTTATTTTCGGTAGGGAATATTTGTGTGCTGCCGTGGCCAGGGATAAATAGAGACAATTTGGCGTCTTACACACTAGGTGGGAGTGTAAGTGCTTCTTTTTTTTTTTTTTTCAATTTATTTATTTTTCTTACGCTGGCGGTGGGTTGGTGATGGAGAGGTGTTTGCTTCTCTCCGCATGGCCGACGTTGCACGAGCGGGAGGTGAAGGAGGCGAGTGAATTTGTGCGCAGTTCCTCCGTGTCGCGTCGGGATTCGATGGCATTGTCGTTGAATCATGCCGGCGCGTTTCCCTCCGCCTCCCACTCCGGCACTCACCGGGGTTCTTTTGCCACGATGTTGGCGACGGGATCCCGCGCGGCATCGCCGCACCCGCACGACCCATGCGCCACGCCGCCGCCGGGCATTCGATGCCTCGACCTCCCGGAACACTACCACGCACGCGACACTAGAAAGAACAAAAGTGCTGTCAACGACTACGACGAAGACGAAGACGACGGGGCCTACCGCTCGGGAAGCTGCTCGCGATGTCTCTCGCGCGCCTCCTCCTTTAGTCTCGGCGCCGGGGGCATGACGCCGCTGGCGTGGAAGATGTCGTCCTCCATGAACGGCGAATCACCGTCCTGCCGTGCCACAGAATCACCGTGCTCGGCGTTTGCGCAGGAGCACCTCGTGGCGACAGCCGTCATGGAGCGGCGCGTCAATCGGATGGCGGGGGGCATCTCTTTTCAGGGCATGACCCCGATGGATGCGTTGCTGGCTGGGCGCCTTGCACCCCCTGACCGCCGGGAGGAGCAGCAGGAATTGGACGAGAGCGGTGACGCGAGGGGCGTTTCGCCTCCTTTTAGGGAACGAAGTATGGCGCCGGCGGAACTTGTCGCCGAGCGGACCGGGCGACAGCAGCCCCGTTGATGAATAGAGGCATTTGGGGGTGGGGCGGTGACGGAATCACCACCGCTGGATGCACACGTGCATTCCTTTCCGGCTCTTCCGATGTTTTTTTTTTTTTGTTTGTTATCCCTTTTTTTTTTCTTTTTTTCTTAGAAGATATCTTGTTTTTTTGTTTTTTTTTTTGTTTTTATTCCTGTGGACCTTTTTTTTTCTTTTCTTTTAGAACGGCCTTTTTTGTTTTTGTTTTGAATGAAATAAAACGAAATGCCCAACACTCGAAGGTAGAGGGGATCTTATTTGTCTGCATGCATACATACGTGTGTATATATATATATATGTGGGATGGAGGGAGACACAGACAGAGAGGGAGGGGGAGAGGTGTATTTTCTTTAGAATTGTTGTAATGGATTTGACGACACGTCCCTCCCTCTCTGTCTCTCTCTGTCTGTCTATATGTATTATTATATTATATTATATAATAATACACGTGTGTCTGTGTGTGTCTGAGTGTAGGGGAGAGGGGGAAAGAAAAGAAAAAAAAAAAATTGGTAAACGGAAAAACGAGGAATAAACCAAAACTTAACCATGTCTTTTGTTCTTTCTGTTGTTGTTGTTGTTATATATTATATGTATATTATATATATGTATGCGTATGCATGCATGCATATAATATAATATATTTACTTTTTTTTGTCTTTTTCTTATCAGCCATAAAAAAAAGGGAAAAAAAAAAAAAAAAAAGAAAGAATAGAAAAAACGAGACAAAACAACAACTTTTTTTTTTTTTTTTCCTTTTGATTTATTTGATTTTATTTTCTTATCGCTTTATGCCACACGCCAATTGTTTTATTGCTGCAACTGATTTGATTGGTAGTGATGGTATATTACATATTATATTATATTATACATATATTATATTATATATATATATATATATGCGTCTGTAAGCATGGTACGTATGTATGTTTTTTTTTTTTTTTTGTGGCGGTCGTTTTAAAACACGGAAGCGCGCACATATCTTATATAAAGCTACATTTATTTATATATATATAATCTGTAGCTTTTGATCGTGGGGGGAAGGTGCTAGAGCGGGAAAGAGAGTGATAGAGAGAGAGAGAGAGAACGAGAGAAGGAGAGTTGCGTGTGTGTGAACGGGAGCTACTGTACTGTCTAACGGATAATTCTTATTGCTTGCCCGAGGTTGCCTTAGATGCAATGCACATGGACGTGCTTTTTTTTTTTTTTTTTTTCTGTCACTCTCTCTTTCTCTATTTCTGTGTATGTTTTCTTTCAACGAGGATCTTTCCATCTTTCATTTTTTCAATTTTTTTTTTTTCTTTCTCACACTCACACACTCTCTCTCTTTCCATGCATTTATGCATGTGTGTTTACATTGTGTGTGTCACAAGTGGGATTCACCGCTCTCGCTTTTCAAGCAGTCGGGGGAGGAGTGAAGGGCAAGGCGACAAGAGTCTAAAGATATATATATTTATTTATTTATATTTATATATTTTCGTATATTTCTAGTGGTGCCACCGCCACCGTTGCTTCGAGTTTTTTTGGTGTCTTCTATTTGGGTTACACACTACGCCAAGAGATGAGTGCGGGTCAATCCGCGGTGGGATGCGGCGATGTCTCCACCGCCGATACACACGGCCCCGGGACGAGCAGCAAATTTTTACCGTCGCCGCTTTACGGGACGCGGGCGGAGGTCTCCACGACAGACGGGGGAGCGTCGCCGATGATTAAACCGCCGTTGTATGCGGCGAACACGTCGGGGAGCGGCCCGATGACGGCCAAGACGGGCATGGATGAATCCACAGGCTTTGCACACGACGCGGAGGAGGGGGAGACACCAGCCCGGAATCCTGCACGGGCATCGTCCATCGCCGCATCGCCGCAGTCACTTTGTGCCGACGACGAGGATGTCTCGGATCGCAATGCTGCCGCCATGGAGGAAAGTTACTTTAGGCGCTCTGCGGCAATGTCGATGGTTCAGAGCGGCGCCGTCAACGCCCCCGTGCAGTTTGAGGGCAGTCTCCTGGGACAGACAGTCATGTTGGGTCAAGGCACACAAGGGCGGGCAAACACCATGTCGCCATCTGTTATCGTTTCCCGCTCTTTGCCTCAGCTCGCAGGCAACGCCAATTGTGGTGACGGTGGTACCCAAGAGATCTGCGAGGACTGTGCAGACGGGCCGAGCATAACGGTTTCCCTGGCGAATTCCACCAACGACGGCGTTGGCCCGTGGAAGCGGGTGCAACTTGTGCCGTTTTCTGCGTCCGGCATCGCTGGTGCGAGCCCGATGCTGACGATCCCTGTTGAATCGGCATCGGACGCAGAGTCGCCAAACAAACAGCGTGCCAACCCGCCGCGGCACCGCTCGATCAACGACCCTGCCGCACCAATTGGGATGCACAACTCACAGCAGACTGCGGCGAGTTCCATCAGCTTCAGCGACAGAACGCCACAGCGTGAGGGAAGTCCCTCGCGGCCCCCATCTTCAGCCTGTTCGACGATGGACATGTCACGACAGTTGAATATCTCCGGGATGTCCGGAAGCATGTCTTTTCGTCCACCGGTTGGAGGCATCAGCCTCGCTGATTTACCGAAGGGTTCTCCGTTGGTATTTGACAGCTCTATGAAGTCCGTAACGCCGACTCGTGGAACACCGGTTTTATCCACAACAGTGCAGCAACCGAAGCCATGCCCAGTTAACCGTGCCACATCTGCGGCCGTCCCTCAATTTGTCACCACGTTCTGTGGAAGGAGTTCCGGTCTTGCCACTGGCAATGGTCTACCACTTTCACGTGGTGTGATGGGAGGAAGTGGTGGTAATCCACTGCTTTCCTCTGCGATGGGCCACATCTTTATCGATCCACACGGGTTGCCGGCCGCGCCGAAATCTCAAAAGCCACCTACGACCCAAATGTCTGATTCGGATGTCTTTCGGCCGTGGTTACCGCTTGGTCTTGAGCAAGACGTGGCTGCAGCTGAGGTGACAGGATGGACGCCGCTGGGAAATGGCTCTGAAATGCCTGAACAGAGTTGTAATGGCCCCATTCTTGCCGGCAACATCGTGAATGATATAAATAATGATGGGGACGACGACAATGGCTATGGGAAGAAAAGCATGTCTCCTGCCCGCCCTGAGGCCATTGGCTCTGGCTTCAGTGTCAACGAGGACGGTGGGGACTCGTTTTTTGGCGCCACTTCCACGACATTGATGGAGGCGACGCTGCTGGAGATGAAGTTGCAGGATGGGTCCGTTTCGGTGTCGGTGCGACCCCCGCCCCGCAACCAGGCGGCGAAGGGCGCTGAGGATGATCGGCAGGGGAAAAATTCACAAGAAGCCCGGGAAAACAGGGTGGTCGAGCCGACGACATGTAAAGAAAAGGCTGGTCAATCGACGAGGGGGAGGCGCCAGCCTTCCTTGCGAAACCAATCCGAGTCCCAGATGAACAAAGAGACTCACGGCGTGGTGAAGCCAGACGCGGCGGTTGAGGGCACCGCACCAGCGGTGCTGTCAACAGAGGAACCCACGCCAACGCGGCATGAGTGATACGGACACCACCGCGAGGGACATTTCAGAGCAAATCCTTTCCTAATAAAGAGGTAGGAAACCCGAAAACAAAAGGAGGTGGCTAGGGAGGGCGGGCAATTTGATGCCGCCGTAAAGTAGATGAAGCGGCGTTTCTTTCAACGCTCCCGCGTGCACCTCTTTTTTGTCGTATTTTTAACACTGTACCTTTTTTTAGAATTAGATATATACCTTTTCTCTCCTTTTCTCTCCTCGCAGACAGGCATACGCAGAGCCGGAAGGAGAGGAAGGAGGAACCGCCAGAGTGCAACCTCATTTTTTTCTTTGTATTTATTTGTGTGTGTGAGAGTTTGTGTGTTGTGGGAGGGATGATGCACGGAGACTTTTTACTTTTTATTTGCATGGGGGATGGAAAATAAAAAAAGAGAAGGAGAGAGAGAGAGAGAGGGAGAAAAAAAAGGGCACATCTCTACTGTTTGCGTGGCGGGCAATTATTTCTCTTGATGCGTGCATGGACGTTTCTTTTCTCGTTGGATCTTTTGTTCTTTTTCTTTCTTTCCCGCCTGTTTCTCCGCAGATTTTTGCCATAGGTAGTTGACATTGACAGAGCGATTGCTACGCGTTCCTGCTTGTGGACGAAGGAAGAAACAAAACAACAACAAAACAAAAACAAATAAAAAACCAATAAACAACGACGACGACAACAGCGGAAACGACGTTGGCGGTAACAACAAATAACTTTAACGAGAATACAAGAAAGGGGGGGAGGGCGAAGGCAGCCATGGTAGGTGGAAAGGATGCGGCAAAACGTGCTGGCAATGCAAAGCGGAGCGATGACAAGAAGAATGGGAAGGGGGAATCCGGAAATAAGATTGGGCCTGCAGCGCATGCGACAGTCGCGACGCATTTCGACAGCAAAACGGAACACAAGACAGCGAAAGCCGTACATGCGAAGCCGCATCCACAGAAGAAGGGCCCTGAAAAGCCGGGGAAGAGTAAAAATAAAAATAAGGACGCAGGGAAAAGTGCGGAGAAATTGAACGAGTCGCCGCCATTACCGCCGCCCTCACCCCGGAGTAACGGCGTCGTGGAGGAGGCGGCGGTGGCCCCTGCAAATGTCACCAACTCACCAATCGTGGAGGACTTGGAGCGGAACGACGATAACGCGGGGGTGTCGTCCTCCAGCATGCAAATTTCACTGGGAGTGCAATCCGTGCCACCAGTAAAAAGAGAGAAGCGCAGCGGTAGTGACAGTACCCTGTGCAAGGACGGGATGGCAGGTTTGTTTAGAGCGGACCAACGTGCTGGTGAAAGTTTGATGGACAATAGCGATGGTGGTGCGAGTCGGCCGAAGGAGGCACCGACGTCAAATTGGACTGCGGGCAGCACGGAGGACCGCGACAGTTGGGTGAACGCCGTGGGCGGAGTAACGGCCAAAAATAAATCCCGCAAGGAGACGGCGTGGAGCGAGGACGACGACGATGATGAGGATGCAGAGGAAGAAGATGACGAGGACGATGAGGAAGATGACGAAGAAGAAGATGAGGATGGCGAAGAGGAAGATGAGGATGGCGACAATGACGACGACGACGAGGAGGAGGAGGAGGAGGACGAGGAAGATGAAGAAGATGGCTGCAATGAAATCGTCAACAAGGAGGAGGGATGGAAACAGGAGCAAATTACAGTGAAAATATCTCGCGAGGGCGATCGAAATGTGAAAGTTCTTTATGTCACGCGGCGCACGAAATTTAGAGCCTTCGCGAAGGATATCATGCGGCGCTTTGCGTACAACCGTCTTTGTGACTTTGACATGTATTGCATCGACGCCGCTGGGGACCATGTCGACATTGACGTTTC